GGGGCTAAACTACTGAGTGAGGCTATGGAATCTCCTTCCCAAGAGGCCTTAAAAAAGGTTGTTTCAGTGATGAAAGAAAGGGGGAGAAAGTATGAAACCTCTGAAAGGAACTTCCATCCTTTTCAATCTATGCTTCTCCATTTGGCATTGCCCTGGAAGACTAGTTCAATCAGTTCATAAAACAGGCCTCATCCAACAATAAAAAGATTCAATTTTCCATAAATGGAGGCTGAACTAAGTATCTGAAGCTACATAATCCTTGAGAGTATCATTATTTCCTAAATTACAACCATCGGGAACTAAATGTCCCACTAGTATCCCAAAAGAGTTATTACTGTATTTCCCAAAGTAGGATAAAGGAAATAAAACCCAATAAATCAATTCCCTTCCTCTTTAGGGAATGGGTAATCCCAATCCACCCCTCTTAAAACAGTGACAGAGCTAGAGTTTTTAAGTGTCATCACAGAGTATGGCAAAAGTAGGCTTTCCTGGATGAAGCTTCCAGCCATAAAGGTATGGCAGTTCTGGGGCTTGGCCCCTAGGCTGTCCTCATGAATAACAAAGTAGACAAACTGGATTTCCCACAAAGTCAGAATGGTTGTGTCCACTCTCATGAAAGTCACATGTTCAAAGGCAAGCTAAAAGTAAATTCTATAGACCAGAGTAGCTGGTGTTTCACAGACCCCTTGAGCAGTCTCCTGAGGCCTGTGGATCCCTTTTTGGAAAATATTTTAAAAAATGTATACAAATAAAAAACCACAGGATTACGAAACAAATACAATTTTAAAAAAAAATTTTTAAGTTCACAGAGAGATGGGGAGAAAATGTGGAACTCAAAATTCTGGGGAAGTGAATGTTGAAAACTAAAAACAAATTATCTTAAAAATTTTTGTTTAAATTAAAAAAAAAGGTTATAGATTCCAGGTTACAAACATCTGCTATAGATCTTTCTGTCTATGACTTTCATACTAGCATCACTCTCTTTATCTGTTAAATCTGAAACTTGAAAGGAAGAGAAGTGGTCCAGAAATCCCCTTTTCGAATTCAGGGTCATTAGGTACAAATTCCCAACTGCCATCTTTTCCAGCACCATAACAGTGATGGCATTTCCTCCACATTCCTTTTCCAGTTTTAAGAGTGTCTAAGAGTACCAGGTTTCCTACCAATGCTTGAGAAATGCCTAAAATCACAGTATCTAAAGCCCCAAACCTACCAACAGGGATTGTAATTTGCATGAGGAAATATTTTGGGATTTAAGTATTTTCCTTAGGAAAAATGAAGACTACAAAATTTGGAAAATCACATGGTTTAAATTCAAACCAAATAAAGCCCTCGGACAAAAAGGGAAGGCTGATAACTGTATGTGAAGGCTTCTGTAGGAGGCAGCCAGGTAATCTGGTGGAAAGAGAACTGCTTTCAGAGTCCAAAAGACAGTTGGAATCTTGCCTCACACACTTATCAATGTGGTTCTGGACAAGTTCCTGCACATCTCAGCCTCATTTTCCTCATCTGCAAAATGGAGATCTACCTTACACAACTGTTGTGAGGGTCAAATAGAACAGTATACGTAAAATGCTTCCAAATTGTGAAGTGCTATGTAAGTATTTATTATTATTGTTGTTGTTGCATATGTATCACCTTGGATGTACAGAGCAAACAATTTTTTTTATTTAGTTGGCCTGAAAAATAAACACAAAAATTGCTAGTATAGTTCACTGAATTTCAAAGTTGGAAGGGTTTCATTGGTAATCGTCTCCAACCCATACCTGGAGAGCAGTCCCTTCTACGACATCCTATTGGTCATTCAGCCTTTATAGGAAGATGTCCAGTGATGGGAAACCCACTATCTTCTAAGGCACTCCACTTCAGTTGGGGGTAGGTAATACTAATTGTTAGGAAGTTTTTCATTTACATTTAGCTATAAATCTGCCATTCTTAAACCTAACTCTAGTGCTCCCAATTCCATCTTCTGGGACTAAGCAGGAAAAAAAATTAATCCTTATTCCCTGTGAAAGCCCTTCAAATAAACATATAGTATATGTTGGCAACAAGCTGAAAAATAGCTATCAAAAACACTTCTAGCGAAAAACAAATATTCATATATGATCCCTCAGTCTTCAATTATCTGCTGTGTATATGATACAACTCAATAGGATAGTAGATTCAGAGCCAGAAGGAACCTCAAGTACAGGTCTAACACAATTCATCCAATCCATTCATTCTACAGTGGAGAATGCTGAAGCCTTTTGCAGTTAAATGATCAGACCAGTAAAGTGGGATTTGAACCCAGGTCCTCTGACTCCAGAACCAGCGATTTTTCCCACTGTACTACACCTAAAGTGTAATAGGGTGTAAAATACCCCTTCTTGGTAAAAACACCCAAGGTTAGAAGGTTACCAGTTTTCATCAGATTATTTATTTCCACAAGGTTTTACCCCACTCATCACTGCTTCCCCTGTCCAAGAAACAGAAAAGCCCACTCCAATTTCCCTAAACTTTTCTTATCCCTTCCCCCTTTAATCTTCAATAAATATTCCACTAGGGAATTCATTTTTTCTTCCCTTTTCAGAAGTAAACACATTAGCCTTGGACTTATTGCTCAACATTCTTCTATATGTAACTTGTTACATCTGAGTGGAATGATGCGATCCTATTGCCTGCAGTGGTATCAGTATGGACAGCTAAGAAAGTACTAGACCTGGGGTCAGGCAAAAATGGATTTAAGTCCTACCATAGACAGCTAGCTGTCTGACTCTGGATGAGTAACCAGGATTGTTTTAAGGATAGAAAGAGATAATACATATGGGTTTGCTTTGCAAACCTTAGGGCACTATATAGAAATGTCAGCTACAATGATGATGATGATGATGATGACGGAGGGGACAAAGACAATGACAATGACAGGAAAACCGAGAGATATCCTAAAAGAAGGTTCTGTTCAATGGTGTCGCTCCAAAATGAAGACCCCTCTAACTCCAAAGGATTGACTGGACAGGAAATCTTACTAATGACCCTCTAAAGGAAATATCTGCCTCTTTCTCAATAACATGATCTGATCAGCAAACAGAAATCAAGGAGACACTTATTTATCATAGGACTGTTAAGAACTCACTAGTTCCAATAACAGAACTCCTAAGTTCTAGAATGACCCATGGCAGACATTTTGACCAAGAGGCACAGAGTTGGTTTGTTAACAGTTACTCAATAAAAATATGTTGACTTGAAGTGAAAGGCAGACAGCAGATTTGGAAGCACAGCCTGAGCCCTGGTACTAGCTTGCTATTCAATCCTAAATCAATTCCTTGATTTGACTTGCCTTAGTTTATCTAATTGGTGAAGTTAGAATACAGTCTCCTCACTTCTGCCCAAACTCCCATCCTTTGAATGCTTTTGCAATTAACATTGCATCACTTCCATTAAGGATAACAAAATAGGTCTCATCCAACATTTAGATTCAATTTTTCATGTTTGGGGCTTGAATTGTTTGAAGTGACACTGTCCCTAAGATTATCCTTACCTAAAGCAGGAACTAAAATGTCATCCTAGTTGAGTCACTAAACAAATATGATGTGAAAACAGATCCAACCTATCTCTCCATATTAATTACACATTTACCCCCCCCTCAACCTGGTTATACGTACTACATTCTATCCAAACTGGTCTCCCTGCTATATCCCATATGTGGAATTCTATTTCTCACCTCCTTGCCTTCGCAGATACTCACTCCTATGCCTGGAATTCTCTTGTCCTCACCTCTGCCTCTTGGAATTCCTTGCTACTTTTGAAAGTCAGTCCAAGTTTTACATTCAAGAGGCCTTTCCTAATTTCCCTAGTTGTTAAGGCCTGTGTATTTACTTTGCATATACGCCTTTCTTTCCCTACATGTGGTGCAGTGGACAGAGCAGTGGACAGAGCACCAGGGCCACTGCTCTGTCCACTGCACCACATGTAGGGAAAGAAAGGCGTATATGCAAAGTAAATACACAGGCCTTAACAACTAGGGAAAGGCCCTGGAGTCAGGAGGATCCAAGTTCAAATTCAGCCCCGAATAGTTAATGTGTGTCTGTGGGCAAGTCATTTAACCCTGTTTGCCTCAGTTCATCTATAAAATGAGTTGAAGAAGGAAATGGCCAACCACTCCAGGATCTTTGCCAAGAAAACCCTAAGTGGGGTCACAAAGAATTGGACATGACTGAAACAACTCAACAAAAACAACAAAAAAGTTTTATCCTCTCTCTCTCTTTCATATATATATATATATATATATATCCCCCCCCCGTACCTAATCAGTGCCTAACACGCCTGGCATATAGCAATACATGTTTGTTGATTGATGAAATTCATTGGCTGGCAAAGTATTACCAGTTCTTTCAAAGAAAATGCCAAACAAATTCAAATAATTACTATTACTCAGTGACAAGAGGAGGAAATAAAGTATGAGTAAAGCCTCTCAAATACACAAGTATTGGGCAGCATTGAGAAGTAAAAGAAACAAATAATCTGAAAACTTCAATGTCTTCTACTATATCTTACCACAGCTATGTATAACAAATTAGAGAGCTGAGACTTTTCTTTATCCTTCTTAGTCTATGGTGGTAGTTGATTCTAAGGAGCTAGGGGAGGGTCATCAAGTAGAGAGCCAGAGGGGAAAAGGGAAAAGGACCTGGACAAAGCTCAAACTGTCTTACAAACCCACAAAGAAGCAAGAGTTGAATGAAAAGCGAAAAAGGCTTAGAAAGAAAAAATAATGGACCTTTTAGGCACTCAATGCCAACTCATATACCTGTCTACACAGAAATTCTTAGAAACTGTAAATTAACATCATGTTCAGTGTTCTGATTGATCAGAAGATGAATCTTCAAAAAATACATATCAAAAATTAAATAAGCTTTGTGGCATGAAGTTTCCAATTAAGGGTATTAGACTGAATTTCACTTAATTTTGGTTGAGTGGTGTGTGTGTGTGTGTGTGTAGTAGATCTAATTATATGAACGGTCTACCTGATATCCAAAGAAGACCATCTGCCACATATCCTGCATGACATGAAAGGGACCGGTCAAAGGACTGTACAAAAGTCCATTTGTTCTTCTTGGGACAATATCGCTCAACTGTAGGCAGAACTTGACGAAGTTCATTGCGGCCTCCTACAGCATAGAGATATTCATCCATTGCTCCCAGCACAAAATGTTCCCGACAATTTTTCATGGGAGCGATCTCAGCCCAAGAGTTACTACGGGGATCATAGCGACAGGCAGTCCGTACAGCACATGTCCGGCCAGTAGCATGCTCTACTTCCCCCCCTGCTACAAAGAGGAAGTCCCCCATGACAGCAACACAGTGGTGGCTTCTGCCCACAGGCATCGGTTCCAGTTCACTCCAGTTTGCTATTGCTGCTATTAGGGCATTGTCTTGGTCGACTGGATTAAAATACCGGAGTTCTTTGACTTTACAGACCTCACGTTTTTTCCCACCAATGATATAGAGTGTGTCTGACTGGAAGCGAGGTCTGGTCCTTCGCGTCTGCCACACTGGCTGTGCATAGATGCTCTGGTGGTACTCCAAGGCCTCATTGACGAGGGCTGTTGCTGTCTCACTGGCTTGGACCAGAGGATGAGACAGTGCAACCGTATGAAGAGTGTCCACATCCATTAGACCAAAACGAATGTACTGGAGGAGCTCATCCATGTACTGGTAATGGCAGTTGTGTTCCAACCACCTCACTGCTAGCTGAAAAAGAGGGGGAAGGATTAAAAACAAAAAGAAACCAAAAGGAAGAAATGGCATATTGTCAAATTATACTGAATTCTTCAATATACTAATTACTGAAATGTCTCATCTAAACAATATAACACCTCAATCTTTGGAGATGGAGGGGTTTTTGCTTGTTTGTTTTAAACTATAACAGGAGGGGCACTGGAAAAAAAAGTTGATAAAGAGGCAGGAACATTTTGAGTTTATATTATATTATACAATATATGTATATGTATACAAATATATTCAATCATACATTCCCTCTCAAATCATTAGTGATTAAATAAAGGCATTTTCCATTTAGGGAGAGGGGCAAGGGTTTGTCCAGAATGAAAATACATTTTGCATTCTCAGGTGCTAAGCATGTGGGGAGTAGGGAGGAAGAGTGCATATATGCCACTACAGAAAACATCAGTGGTTAGTAGTGTCATTGTATTTCAAGTAATATATAGCAACCCATGAGTCAAAGTGCTCTATCAATAAAAAAAAAAAAAATTTAAACCCATAGAACAATATGCGATCATCCATGACCACAGGCTGCACTTGAGAGAAAATCAATATGACACTACTAGAATGATTTAGAAGGGGGAAAAAGGCTTTCTCCTCACCCTGTTCCTAGGTGTGCCAGACACAAAGAAAAAGAAAAAGCCTAAAATATATCAGTTTTGTGTTTGAGGAAGGGAGGGTCATGAATTTACTTTTTATCTTAAGATATATGTTGTTAGCACATGTAGAATCTTGGAAATCTATGTACAAGACCTTCACATAAATTCCTCACAAAAAACACTATCTTCTCATTTGGCTTAAATATCAACATGCAATTTTAGCCTCCTCTCACCATAGTCTAGTCTTTTTTTTTTTTACAAAAGGAATTCTAGAAAACAAAGGAAGGCCCATAATTGAATCTCAGAATCATCAAATCTTAGTGTTTGAAAGAGCCTGGGACATAAAAGGTCAGCAATCACAAAACAGGAGAGGGATGGGGGGGAAAACATGCATAATTTAAAAATGAAAAGTTCTATTTAAAATTATCTGAAGTACCTTAAATCTTTAAATACGATGCCTAAATTTGGCAGGTTGTATTAAACCAACAAACGCATTTCAACAGTAAATGCATTCTACCTCAAAGAAAAAAAAGACAATAAAATGTCACTGGTACATGGAGTTACTTATATCATTCTCAGCAACTGATATGCTAAACTGAAATAAAATTACATCAGAACAAAGGTATGGATCTGAAATTAATTAATGGGTCAAATTTTAGCAATGATAGAATAGCTAGACTGCTTTAACAGACGATAAAATAGAACCATGGACTGCTTTGCTACTTTCTAATACATAAACTTGAAGATGTGCATCCTCAGACAGCTCACTGGAACAATGTTACCAACTCTAGGAGAAAATTTCTGAACTCTCAGAAACAAGCCAGCTAACCACTCTCTTTGTTCACGTGCTTCTAAATTTAGGACTTATTTGGGACTTGTTTCTTCAGTTCCTTTTTGAAATACTAAGAGAAGAGAACAGAGATAGAACGTCATTCATATCCTCCCCAAATCTATGGACATACTAACAGGATCTTTGTTAGCTATATTTCAGTATCCAATAGTCTAAAATCTCTAAGAATCAAAAGGATTCAAATGAAACAAAACACTCAACTGAATAAAAAAACAATAATTTGCTTTAATGTAGCAATGCCTAAATTCATCACAGATACTACAGATGACAAAAGGAAGACCTAGTAGATGGTCAATCCCCTCTCTACCAGAATGGGATAGCTATCTACAACCAACTTCCTAAATCTCTGGCCACTCTAATTTTGTATGTTTCAAGTGACTTGTGTTCCAACCATATTCTGGGGAAGATATTTCTGTGGTTTATTTTTTATTTCAAACTGTATGGCTCATTTTTTACTCACAGACCTTCTAAAGTTTCTAGGGACGGCTTCATCATTGTCTTAAGTGCACCTCATACATCATAGGTATGATTTTTAACATTTTACCTACAGTATCTCTTATTTTATTTCCTGGATTTTATCTGATCATTCCTACTTTGTTCTAGTAATTAATTCCTCAATATTCTAAGAGGTTTTTTTTTCTCCTTTCACTTAGATGTTGCAGAGATGAGCAAAAGACAAGGAGCAGAGGACGAGTACCTCTCTAGACTTCTTTTTAAACCCAGTGATACACATCTAATTATTTTTTCTTTCTCCTCATTAATCACTTTTTCTGCTTCTTAATCAATCTCTTTGCCCATCTAAAAAGAAGTTTTATCTTATCTTTCTAGCAAACTATGATACTACATGAAAAGGACAGAAAACTTAACAATCCTCAGTTTCCTAAGGATATGTCTGTGGATAGATGAATCCCAAATCTATACATTTAAGACCTGACTTCTCTTTTTGACTGCAGACATGTATCTCCAGCTACCTACAGGGCATCTCTACCTTGATGCCCCACTGTAATCTGAAACTTAATATATACAAAAACAAACAAACTAGGTTTATAATCTTTTCCCAAAACCTGTTCCCTTTTCTGAGTTCACTATTTTTGACTGCTGGCACCCGATTTCTCATATTCAAAAACATACTATCTGTATTTAACACTTCTCTGTCCCATATCTCTCAATAATTCAGGACCTACTGATGATAACTTTATAACATCTTTCATATCTATTCTCTTCTCTCTATCCTCACCAGCACCACCCAAATACAAATCTTCATTACCACCAATGTGAGGTATTGCAATTGCCTCCTACCTGATATTAGCAGCTCCCCTACTTCCCCAGAGATCTATTTACATTCAACTCTACTCAAACTTCTTCCATGGCTCATTAATTGCCTCCCTTCTAAAATGCAAACTTCTTTACCTGGCATAGCAGGCCTTCCAATACCTGGAAGCATACTACTTCTCTGGACTTGCCTTACACTATATGCTATGATATACTCTCGATTCTATCCAAATCCAGACATACTTTCTCTCAAATATACCCAACACTTTCCTCCCTTCATGTTTTTGCTCATGCTGTTCCTTCTCCCTGAAATGTACTCCCTCCCTTCTTGGCCTATTTCAATTCCCATCAGTATTTTAAATCTCAATTCAAATGTCACTTTCTCCATGAATCTTTCCCACTCAAACTCACAAAGCACTTTGCTTGCTGCCTTACGCATCTACCATTTTATTACTGTATTGTACAATTATATGTATCTATAAACATATCTTTTCCAGTGCCTCAGCACAGTGCTCAAATACATACAGCAAACACTTAAATAACTCTTAACTGAAAAGTTAACAGTACTTAACTGTACTTAGCAGCACTTAACAAAAGTACTTAAAAAGTTTTAACGTAATATCATTCCTGTTCCATTTCTGGTTTGCTCTTTTACTGCCTCTAGAATACACCCATTACTGCTATTTTCATGTTCTTTTCCCCACAGAATAACTATTGCATATCACTTTTCACCTCACACATTAAGCCTGCATTTTCTCAGATGAATTTTACCTCATACTTTTCCAATATTTTTAACTTCTCTCTGACCTCACATAATTTTTAGCCTTTATCCTTTATTGATACCTTTAGGCCACCCAAATCATTCTCATTTGTTAAGCTCGTGTTTCCCCTTAAATTCAAGTGAAATGTTAATTAAAACTAACTACTCTAACATCTGCCTCAGACCCCTTCTCACCTAGATATACATTTATAGACTTTAGACAGCATTCCATTCAGGAGGCAGTGTTCATATTCCAGATAATGACCCAGGTTCTTCTGGTGGGATTCAATTAGGCACTTTGGGAAACTGCATTAACTCTTTCAAGTCACCAGGATAAATCCGGTCAATTACTACTTTAGTGGAGTAAATGGAACTTTTGGCAGCGTACATATTCAGAAGGTAAAAATCTCATAAAGGCTAAGTAGGATGTTTTAGTGACTTAGGACACCTGGCTAGATTTAGCTTCATGTACCACGGCAATGGTTTGGGGATTCTGACTCTACCCCTTGATCCATGATTGACTTGGGTACATTTAGTTAAGTTATTTAAAAGCTTTGCTTAATTTCATTTTTACAAAGGCAAAAAGCCTTTTTTGAAAAAGAGAGTGCTATACTTTGCCATAAAAACCTATGACAGAACTATAAAATTATAAGATTAGAGAAATAGTACCATAATTCTTGCTTCTCTGAATTTTATAAAGATGGACCCAATAACGTTGGACTTGAAAACAGGAAGAAGTGAGTTTGTATCCTGCCTCAGACACTTGCTAGCTGTGTGACACTCAGCAAGCCACTTAACCTCTATTAGCCTCAGTCTCTGCATCTGTAAAATGGGATACTAATAATGCTTTGGATAACTATGAGGACCAAACAAGATAACATATGTAAAAGAGCTTTGCAAACCTTGAAGTGTTATATAATGAGCTATTATTAGCATTGCTATTGTTATCATTATCATCATCGCCATTCAAAACAGTGATATCAAAATTATCTGTATGTTGGCACCCCACTGATAATATAAACCCCTGTGCAGAATTAAATAAAGAGGAGAAAATATTCTAGAATCTATCCAAAATGACAGAAGTGTAAAAAAAAAATCTAAGAACTCAAGGACACTAACTACTGGAGTAAAAACTCCCTATTAAATAAAAACTGCTGGGAAAACTGGAAAGCAGACTAGCAAAAATCAGATGAACATCACACATCATAAACTTTAATACATTCCAAATGGATACATTAACTTATATATGAGAGGTCATATTATAAACAAATTACAGGAGAAGAGAAGGAGATACCCTTCACAGCTATGTAGGGGAAGGGTCCTTGAACAAACAAGGAATAGAGAGGATCATAAAATAAATGGACAATTTTGATTATATACAATTATATTTTGACAGAAACAACATCAATACAGTTAGAAAGGCAATAATTAACAAGAGAAAATTTTATAGCAAATTTGTCTGATAAAGATATGGAATCTAGGGTATATA